GTGTCGTGAGTCAGCCTCAACCAAACGTTGTGCAATAAATGCCAGAGAGGGGCTTTTTCTTTTTTCTCCAGGCATCCAAGATAAATAATTACACTTATTTTGTCTACTTCTTAGCAACAAGAATGTTACACAACTGGACATCATTCCTGCAGCTGCATTCAGAAGGATTTCCAATGGTACAATGGAGAGCAAATATTTGCTTAAAGACAATGCAATCTGTTCCATCATTAGCAAGTCATTCTGGAGTCAGATTTTAAGGCTGTGCTTGCCAGGCTGCTGACATTGAAGCTTCAAACACACCTCTCTTCAGCTCTGCAGGGTTTTCTTGAACACCAACAATGACAGCTGTCTCCATCTCCTCCATTTAAAAAGTGGGAGCAGCGTGATCTCAGTATATTCTTTAACCAACAGGAAATTCACTGCATTCAGCTCTCAGCAAACTCAGGCAGACACAGGCAAAATGGTCTGGATGTGTAAGATTGTTTTAACACCTCTCTGCAACCAGAAAACTCAGCTGAAGGACTGCAGAGAGTATCAGGAATAGGCAGAAAATCCATGCTGGTTTGGAAATCAAGGGCATGTGCTTGAGGAGGGAGGAATGGGATTAATTATATTTCAATTAAGCCATGTTTAATAGCTAGATGTGAACAGGCAGATGTGAGTATGAAAGGCTGAGATTAAGTTAGGCAGAAAAATATAGGTCCTGGGGAGAGATGCTGAAATGAAAGTGAACTAGAGAGAAAATTCACCATGAGGGTCTTGTGGATGAGACTGGTGGAGAGGAAAATGAGCATTAAGACAAGAATAAACTTGTGAGGACAGAATGACTCAGGCTGGAAGGGAGCTCAGGAGATCACTGGTCCAGTCTTCTCTTCAAAGCAGGGTCAGCAAGAAGGCCAGACCAGGCTGCTCAAGGCTTTATCTAGCTGAGTCTTGAAAACCTCTAAGGATGAAGAGTGCACAGTGATGCTCAGCAAACCTTTCCAGTGCTTGACTGATCTCTTGGTGACTTTCCCCACACTACATCCACTCAAAACTTCTCTTGCTTCAACTCTGGAGCAAGGTGCCCCTGCCCATGGCAGGGGGCTGGAACTGGATGAGCTTTAAAGGTCCCTTCAACCCAAACTGAATGGATTAGAATCCCCCTGAAGGCCTGATAAAAGAAACAGAGCTAGGGTAGAAGGCAGGGAATGAAGAGATGACTCATTCTGTGATTTAGGGAGGGGATAGCCCCCAGAGGCTTTAGGAAGAGCAATTTTAGTTAAACCTATGATGCAAAAGGCAGAACAGACAGTGCATGGGATGAAACGTGGCACAAGGAAAAGCAATGCAAAACAACGATGTAAGCTATGAGCAAGAGGGGTTGAAGGGAGAGGAGCAGGTTGAGCTTGTGGGAGGTGCAGATGGGTGAAAGGAGCAAAAAACAAACACTAAAACCAGAGTAAATACAGCCACCGAGCTGCACTTCTTGGCAACACTTGGTTTTGGCTGTCTCCAATAGGCCTCTGAATCATCTTCAGCTGTCACAAGCCCTCCAGCCTAGTTCAGGTCCCCAAAGAGGCCTTTATCCTCACCAAAGGATCACTGGGCAAGGAAATACCACAAGGACTTCACAGTAAACCAATGACATTTAAATCCAGTTATCAGGACACACACAGTCCTACAAGCTGCTACCACATACACTCGTTACTGACTCAGCTGAGACTAAAACTGAAGGGGACAGTTGTATGAGTGAATAAAGACTTTTTGGAGACCTTAAAGAGCCTACAGATTTACAGCTGACAATGACTCAGACACCCTGAGCAGCCAACCAAGATGCTGTCACTGCAAAGATGATGTACAATGAAATGCCAAGTTGTGCCAATTAGGCCATTCGTGTCATGCTGAGAGATAGAAAGAACTTCTCTGACTTTGCCTTCAATAGGAAGCATACAGCACAGCAGACAGAGAGTGAGTGCAGGAACACTGCTCTCCACACCTCTCCTCATGGAAAAAGGATGACGAGGGGACTGGAGCACCTCCCATGTGGAGACAGGCTGGAAAAGTTTGGGCTGTTCAGCCTGGAAAAGAGAAGCTGCGTGGAGACCTCAGAGCAGCTTCCAGTATCTGAAGGGGGGCTATAGGGAGGAACTGTAGAGGCAGGACAAGGGGTGATGGGTTCGAACTGAAACAGGGGGAGTTTAGACTGGATATAAGGAAGAAGTTCTTTACTGTGAGGGTACTGAGGCACTGGAATGGGTTGCCCAGGGAAGTTGTGAATGCTCCATCCCTGGCAGTGTTCAAGGCCAGGTTGGACGGAGCCTTGGGTGCCATGGTTTAGTGTGAGGTTTCCCTGCCCATGGCAGGGGGTTGGAACTGGACAATCTTAAGGTCCTTTCCAACCCTAAGTATTCTATCATCTTATGATTATAAATGGCTCAATATTCTCTCTGTTATCAGGAATGGCACCAAGCAACCCTGCCATAAAATAGAGCTCTGAGCCCTGGACAACCCACTGGCATGTGTACTCAGGTACACATTGCAGATGAACCCTCAGCAAGGACAGCAGAAGACCAGGTTCCAGATACATCTGCTAAGTCTTCCCCTTGCCCAGCCTTTTCCAACCACAGCTTTAACTTTACAAAGCTCATGAGCAGCCTCCAAGCTAATTCCAGAGATGACTGCCAAGCTTTCTGTTTCCTACCACATAAACACCATGGACAAATGCCTCCCTGCCTCTCATACCTATCCTGCTTCACCCCTGCACGATCTGTCTCTGTGCTCCCATGCCCCACAGCAAGTCACAACAGGATTACAGGCTAAGACTGGATGGGGAAAGGGCTCCAAGCATTCCTACCTTGCTCTCTTCCCACAGATTCTCAGGGAGCAGTTGCTCCTGAAAGCCTGCAGCAACTTAACCTTTCATTTAAGCTAAACAACAGTTCCTTTTCTAGGCAGGAAAAACTCTGTCTGGCTAAAACAAAGGGTAAATTGCACAGGACCAAATCCAAACCACATAAATCTTCACTGTTTTGGCTGCTTTGTTTATTGGGAAGACCAGAATATTTCTGTTTTGGGGGCAGAAAGCCTCCCACATCCATTGCAACACATTCATTTGCCAAGCAGCTCTGGTTCCTATTACACACTTACATTCTTTGATAATGTAGGAGTCCCATTCACAGAGTATGACCCAGCTTGATAACCACAGGTAAAACCTTCACAGATCTAAAGGGCTTCACAGCATTTAGAGGGTTAATACTGTGATGCATCAGTATGGTGCTTCTGCATCTAGAAGAGCTTGATCTATTTTTGCAGACTGAAAGGATTGAATACCACTTGAGCTATAGGGTCAACAGCTCAGTGTGCTTAAATAAAGGAGCAGGTTCACAGAGTTATACCCCATTATGAATAATCACATCTATATTTAGATGGCACCATTTAAAATGCCTGTAAGAACAACATGCTACTGTAAAATAGGAACATTAAGATTAACGTCCTGTACTGCACACTGAAGAGCATTGATTTATTTTTACCTATCCTTAGAGGCCAAGGTGCACCTGAGTGATATCAATGGAAAATGCATTTACCAGGCAAGTCTTGCATCTGCCCAGTTCAGCCTTCACTCCATCCCAGAGCAGGCTGTGTGCTATTTAAAGGGAAGAGACTGATGTAAGAGAGTGAGATTGTATTTCAAGTTAATCATTACAATCCCTAGTTTTGCTCTGGACTTACTTGATTTGCAGAATTACATCTTTCAGTAAAGGTCACAGCATTTGACAGTCAATTAAATCCTACAGGTACAAATCCATGTCATCCCATCTTCTTTCAGGGACACACAGACTCCACCACCCTCCAGTTAAACAAACCTCCTCATTAGCTTTCCCCAGCTAATGGCTGAGATGACACATCAGCCTGTCGCTGCCAAGTGACCTGTGCTTCGGTCACAGCAGCCAGGGCACCACATGTTAAACATCCTGTCCAGTGAGAACCTTTAGCTGGAGCATGGCAGCAAATGATAACCATCTAGGTGGTCTGAGACAGGGTCTCAGAGAGAACAAACCAGGCAGAAAACAGCTTTCTGAAGACATTTGTACCTTTTGATTTCTACACAAAACTCACACTTTGAACTGCAGCTATTTACCAGCAGCCAACTGAACTGTGCAACAGTGATTAAATAAAACCCATTAGCTCTCAACAGTGGATATGATGCACAGTTAACACTATTAGAAACATTCATCAGAACCTCTTCATCAGGGGTTGTAGTGATAGGACAAGGGTTGATGGGCTCAAACTGACACAGGGGAAGTTCAGGGTGGAGATAAGGAAGAAGTTCTTCACTGTGAGGGTGCTGAGGCGCTGGCACAGGGTGCCCAGAGAAGCTGTGGCTGCCCCATCCCTGGCAGTGTTCAAGGCCAGGTTGGACACAGGGGCTTGGAGCAACCTGCTCTAGTGGAGGGTTTCCTTGCCTGTGGCAGGGGTTGGAAATGGAGAAGCTTTAAGGTCCCTTCCAGCCCAAACTATCCTATGATTCTATTCTATGATAAAACATCAAGTGTAAATGCGATGAAACAGGAGAAATGAGAATTGGCAGAAGGAAGAAACACAACAGGAAGACTGAAGAAGACAGAAGAAAGAAGCTTTGGAGAAAAGGAGTAAAGAGGAAAGGAACATGGTAACTAAAAAGAAAGAGCTTTTCTTGCTGAGATATGCCAGATATGAACAACAGCAAAAAGACATTTAAGGTATTACAGTGATTAGCAACAATCCTACAATCATTCCCATAAAGGTTAAGTTTCCATCCAATATTCCCAATTCACAGCAAGCAGCAGATTCCTAGTATTTAAAACTAGTTGATAAACCAGAATTAAAAAGCAGTCTGATTTTGCCCTGCCTCTCACACCATCATCCAGCCACGGCTACTCTACTGGTTTCTGGCACACATAGGGCAGTTATCCAATGGATACCAATGGGGCAAAGTCAAGATCCCTGAGATCAAGCTAAAACCTTCTCATTTTACTCACCCTGCCATCACTTCCAAATGGAGCTGGCCAGAAACAGTCAGGAAAGCAGGTACGTTGAAGAAATGGGTCTTTTCTGCAGATTCCTTTGCCTCATTTGCCACCTGTAAGTCAAACCAATGAACAAGAAGTCAGCCCATCAGTGTTTCATTAAAAATCACAGCTCCTGGCTTATTTCCCCTATTTTCTCTCCGGAAATTCCATGGGATTCAACCCAGACACTGCTGAGATGGAATCCAACAGTGTGGGAGGTCACAACACAACACTCCCCCTCTTTACTCAGACTGGCTCTAAAACCTTCTCAAGCAAAACACATCAAGATAAAGCATTCCTCAGGACTTCTCTTTCTAGGGGTCTCACACAAGGATGCGTCTATGTAATGAAAAGCCTATTTTAAGTGGGAAACACTACAGCTCCCAGTTCCACAATGACTCATGAGGACATGGGTTGTGGGCATCACAACAACTTGAAGAACAGGTTTGTGAACTGCAGCACATACCCCCAGTGTCACCAGCACAGCTTGGACACATAAGGACAGAGGGAGGATACACAGTTCTCTCATACGTTTCTCAAACTAACAGGGATTGTTAACTGGATCCCCAGTTATATCCATTCAGGTTGAGTGGGAAGTAACCTAATATGACACAGCTTCATGGAGTTTACTGTTTCCCTATAACTTTGTGGGCAGCACAGAGTTCATACAAAGCTAAGAGAATCCGTGGCTCTTCACCTCTCATTCTTCACATGTGCGTATGTCAGGAGCTCTGAATTTTACTCAAGGAATTGTGTAACTTCTGTGTTTCACCATGGATGAGCTGAATTAGAAAAGCCATTGTAGAAAAGCAGGAGAAAACAAATGTAAAATCAAATGTCAGGAAGCACAGGGTGCCCAGAGAAGCTGTGGCTGCCCCATCCCTGGCAGTGTTCAAGGCCAGGTTGGACACAGGGGCTTGGAGCAAGCTGCTCCAGTGGAAGGTGTCCCTGCCTGTGGCAGGGGTTGGGACTGGAGGAGCTTTGAGGTCCCATCCAACCCAAACCACTCTGGGATTCCATATTCACCATTTTACAAGCAGGGATGAGAACAGGAGTGATAGAAATTAAGATTTTCTAGAGCGGCCTCGGATTTTTTGGCTCCCTTGTAAAGTAACACACATAGAATCATAGAATAGTTAGGGCTGGAAAGGACCTTAAGATCATTCAGTTTCAACCCCCTGTCATGGGCAGGGACACCTCACACTAAACCATGGCACCCAAAAGGCTCTGTCCAACCTAGCCTTGAACACTGCCAGGGATGGAGCATTCACAACTTCCCTGGGCAACCCATTCCAGTGCCTCACCAGCCTCACAGTAAAGGACTTCCTCCTTATATCCAGTCTAAGCTTTCCCTGTTTTAAGTTTTAACCCATTATCTCTTGTCCTATCACTACAGTCCCTAATGAAGATTCCCTCCCCAGCATCCTTATAGCCCCCTTCAGATACTGGAAGGCTGCTATGAGGTCTCCATGCACCTTCTCTTCTGCAGGCTGAACAGCAACTACATAGCTAAGGGCTCCATCTCTGCCTAGGGGTTTGGGAGCAGGTGAAGAAACCACATTCCATGTTTTTTGGAAATGCAGATACACAAAATGAAAATCCCTATGAAATATATGATGAAGAACATTTTGCCCAGCAATGAAAGAAGGATGCCATTCTATCAACCTGGTGTCCAAATATAAGCAGTGATTTTCACTCATTCCTATCAAGATGGGCAACCTGATCTAGGTTGCTCCAGTTGAAGATCTTGCCCACTGCAGCAGGGTTAGACTAGGTGAACTTTGAAGATCCCTTCTGACCTAAGGTGTCCTATGATAAGATGAAGAATGAGGGGGAAGGGAGAAATCTCCATCATGTTGAATTTTGAAACTTCACACGGCATTGCCTTCAAAATCCAGTTTCAAGTCTGATGATAAAATGGAGGAGCATTTTCCACATCAGGTGCCTCAACTTTTAGGAAAGACTTCTCAAACCACTGTTATTTCCTTTTCATGGGCAAACGAATTTGTTTCCATTGCAAAAAGACAAAGAGTAATCAGAACAAAGAGGAATGCAACATCCTCTTTAGACTTGTTATTCAGGCTTCAAGAAAAGCAGAATTGAGACAATACAGAGTTGGAACCATCACAGGTTACGCATCATACAGGCACTGAAGAACAAACTATGTTTCATGTTGGCTTTTGCATGTTTTTTCAGATCACCAGATATTTTCAGCATAAAAACCAGGGAGTAATGGAAAATTTAACAAGTTGAGTGTTTCATGGTGAAAAAAGCTCTAAAAACCAAAGTGCCTGTAAAGGAATAGTATATTTTTGGGTTTTAATTTACAGGCACAAAAGCAAAAAACAGAAGACCTCCGTGTCAAGCACTTTGAAAGTAATTTGAGCACAAGGACTGAGCTTCACCATCACCCTGCCAGAACCAAGCTGACCACAAGACATGGAGCACACATGGCAAACAGAATCATAGAATCAACCAGGTTGGAAAAGATCTTTGAGATCATCCAGTCCAACCATTCCCCAGCACTGCCAAGGCCACCACTAAAGCATGGCACTAAGGACCTTGCCTACATGGCAGTACAAGAGAGGGGATCCCTCCCCTCTGCACAGCACTGGTGGCTCATGAAGATCACTGGATGAAGTGCTTGCTTCCCCAGTACAAGAGGGATATGGACATACTGGAGTGAGTCCAGCAAAGGACCAAAAGATGCTTAATGGATGGGAGCATCTTCCATATGAGGAGAGACTGAGAAAGCCCTGGGACTATTCAGCTTGAAGAACAGAAGGCTCTCGGGGGACCTTATCCTTGTGCATAAATACCTGATGGAGGAGAATGAAGACGGAACCAGACTCATCTCAGCTGTGCTCTCTGGTAGGACAAGAGACAGTGACTTTATAAAATCACAGAATAGTTAGGGTTGGAAAGGACCTTAAGATCATCAAGTTCCAACACCCCTGCCATGGGCAGGGACACCTCCCTCTAAACCATATTACCCAAGGCCTCGTCCAACCTGGCCTTGACCTCTTTGACTTTACAAAGAGACACATGAAATTTCATCTGAAAACAAGAATAAGCCTTTCTTATTTGCTGTGAGGGTGATCAGACACTAGAACAGGTTGCTCAGAGAGGCTGCGAAGTCTCCAGCTGGAGAGATAAACTTAACAGCACATAGTCCTGGAAAACTTGCTCTAGCTGCTTGTCTGAGCACAGTGAAATGGATGAGATGCTCTCTAGAGGTCACAATTTTTGACTTTTAAAAAACCATGAAGATAAATGAGTTTTTTGCTTCATTTTTTTCTATATTTCAATGTCATCCCTAAGCTTTGGAGGAGTCAAAGGTTCAGGAGCAAGACAGAAAGAAATTTCAAAGCTAATTTGATGAATCCTTTCTTCTGAGATAAGTCTGAAATAAAATCATAGAATAGTTAGGGTTGGAAAGGGCCTTAAGATCATCCAGTTCCAATCCCCTGCCACGGGCAGGGACACCTCGCACTAAACCATGGCACCCAAGGCTCTGTCCAACCTGGCCTTGAACACTGCCAGGGATGGAGCAGCCACAGCTTCCCTGGGCAACCCATTCCAGTGCCTCAGCACCCTCACAGTAAAGAACTTCTTCCTTATATCCAATCTAAACTTCCCCTGTTTCAGTTTTAACCCATCACCCCTTGTCCTATCACTACAGTCCCTCATGAAGAGTCCCCAGCATCCTTATAGGCCCCCTTCAGACACTGGAACGCTGCTCTGAGGTCTCCACGCAGCTTCTCTTCTCCAGGCTGAACAGCCCCAACTTTCTCAGCCTGGCTCCATACAGGAGGTGCTCCAGTCCCCTGATCGCCCTCGTGGCCTCCTCTGGACTTGTTCCAACAGCTCCATGTCCTTTTTATGTTGAGGACACCAGAACTGCACACAATGCTCCAAGTGAGGACTCAAACACCCACTTTTCAATGTGTACTTCCTAGGAGTTATGCTGAGTGTTACTAGCTCAGCTAAGCATTGCACCACCTCCAACCATTCGACTCCTCAACTTAGTTACAGGGATGTTGCTAAGCTCAGGCCTGTTTCATAGAATCACAGAATGGTTTGGGTTGGAAAAGACCTCAAGATCATCCAGTTCCAAGTCCCTGCCACAGGCAAGGACACCTCACACTAGACCATGTCGCCCAAGGCTCTGTCCAACCTGGCCTTGAGCACTGCCAGGGATGGAGCATTCACCGCTTCTTTGGACAACCTGTGCCAGTGCCTCATCACCCTCACAGACTGTTTGGCAGCCTTTGATATTCTACAACCTGCCATTTTCCCCAAAGAGTCTGAAAGTGTTGCTTTTGTTTTCAAAGAGCTCTTCTGCTCCTCTCAAAGATAAAAGAGAGGCTGCCAAAGCCTTCAGATCACAAGGCATCATAGCATCACACTAGAGGAAAGAGCAAGCTTGCCTTGTTCCACAGAGATCAATGAAAATATGACAATCTGTGGCTTGCTTCCTTTGTTTCATAGGTTTTGCAGCCCTAAAAAAACCCAAAGAACAAATCCCAAGGATGCAGAAACAGGCCCCTATTGTTTTCTTCAAATAAACCAAGAGTATCTGCTCAAAAACAATAAGGATATTAATAAAACATACAAACATCCACATGCCACAGCCCCAGAGCCATGGCCAGAACAGTAGAGAGAAGGACCATGTACCATTCCGGCTCCTCCTATTGCCAATTTAGCTTTGCTACATTCCTCATTCCACCAGTGAAAAATCCCACCTAATCCTGCAAGCTGCAACTTCTAAACAAGGAGAAAGAGGCAGATTGGGAGCAGGGAAAGAACAGAAGGGATCAGCCATGAAATCTCCACGCTTCCCCGCAAACCCACAAACAGGATACAGCTGTCTGCAGGAGCTGGGGCTCGGTTTATTTATAATGCCTTTGTGTCATTTTTCATTCTCCAAATCAGATGGAATCCCAGGGAGGGAGAAGGAAAACAGACACAACAGCGAGGGACTGAAGGAAGAGTGTGAGAAAGTCTAGAGCTCAACTGGGCTTAGAAACTGCAGCCAGTTTGAGAGGCCACTGAGAGATCCCAGATGCACATCTGCTTTGTGAGCAGCTCCTACATGGCTTCCAACAGAAGATGAAGAGAAGGTGAATGTTACTTCCTCATCACCATCCAATCGCTTCTCCACAGCTGCCCACCTCCTCTGCCTCATTTTGAGACAGAAAGCTTGATGCACAGGGGTTGTGAGCTGCAAAAGACAATCCATTTGCTATGCAGGGAGAACGAAGCATCTCCCGTTTCCTTCAGAAGGGACCCCTTCAGCAAGAAGGTATCCTGTAATCACCTTCACACATTCAAGCACAGGATCAGGCCACTGTTCTCAAGTGCCTCTGCCCCAGATTTATGCTCAGCCTTCTAGATCAAGCATGTTTCTTCATTATACACAACCATAACCACTGGTAGAAGATAAATAGTAAGTGATGCTATCCTTTCACTGCTGACTCCGAGATTGTTTTTCATGTCCATGATAAGCAAAACAAAGTGACAACATTGTGATGCTTTTATTTCAATTTGATGGACTTTTCTCCCACTTCCCAACCCCAAAATACCTATCTGGTAAATGATTAGGGGGAATAATGTGTTTGCTTTCAAGTTCCCTCCATTCCCTAGTCAAAAACGACCCAAAACACAATGGGGAAAGAGGAAGGGGAAATCTGTGTGAAACATTTTGGTGTCTTAGAATAAACATGGTACAAACACACTAGGATTCAACATCAACATCAAAAGCTTGTTGTTCTCATTCTAAATACAAGAACAACTGGATTTAGTACCTGTTTTGCTCTCCATCTCCTCAAATGGCTAATGATTTCATTTAAGAGGATTCCCTTTGATGTCAGTCTTGTACTACCATTTGCTAGAGGCAATTAGCTTCAGGAAGGCATAAACCATTTGTCTGTCTTTCAGATGCAAGCTAAACGCATGAGCTCTTAGGCAGAAGCTCCTCTCTGTGAGGGTGCTGAGGTGCTGGCACAGGGTGCCCAGAGAAGCTGTGGCTGCCCCATCCCTGGCAGTGTTCAAGGCCAGATTGGACACAGGGGCTTGGAGCAAGCTGCTCCAGTGGAAGGGGTCCCTGCCCGTGGCAAGGGTTGGAGCTGGATGAGCTTTAAGGTCCCTTCCAACAAAAACCATTCTATGGTTCTACGATGATGATCCTTTCAAATAATGAAATAGTCTGATCCAGACCCCGGATTTACTTAACCACCACCCAGATAATGAGATATGTGTGAGACAAGAGACAAGCCTGATACAGAGCACGTACCCTCTGCTGGAGCCAACAGGTAGAGTTTAGCAGTTCTTAGGCATAGGGCAATGTCCTGAGGAAGGAATATGGCCACAGGCAATACAAAACACATGTGAGACCTACTTTAAAGAGCTGTGAATGCCAATAGAGCTGCTGTGCTTGGTAAGTCACTGCACGCTGAGTTCTTCTAAAAGGCTGCATTGAAGCAGCAGGGGAAGTGGCTGTCCAGGGCCTCTTCACACAAGCTGGAGTGTCCTGGGCCAGAAAGACTCCTTAGAGTGTAGAGGAGCCTCCACTTCTCCACAGCAGCTGAAGACAGTCAAACAAGGAAACTTTCCAGGGAGCAAAGTGGAAAAGACAGAGAAAAAGACCCAGAAAACAGGGAGCCTTCAACACTGCAGACAGAGTGGGAGGCTACTGAAAATAGCAGGGCACAGACATGCAGCTGGGTTACAAAGGAAAGGCAGATTTCCTAGGAAGCAGCCCCAGAACGGGACTGGGTAGAGTTTCTTGCACCATACAAAGCTGCAAAGAATTTTAGACTTGAGAAGGAGAAAAAAGAAGAAAGGAAAGAATCTGCCCTGAAGTGCTGAGACTGCTGGTACAGGGGAACTAACTCAGATTAAGTTCAAAGGGCTGTCTCACCCTGCTGATCTACGTTCCCCCTCATTCCACTACAACTCAGCTTTCAATATTCAAAGCTCTTTTGGTGTTTTCAGTACATTTACTTCAAAGAGGGCAGCACAGGCAAGATGCTATCCCCCCCTTCCAAGGTTCCACCAAAGGCAGGGACCATCCAAGGTGCAGAAATCCACAGGCTGGTGCTGCTGATGTTCTCCATGTGGCATAGGGGCTGCCTGGCTGACCACTTGTGGTGGTGTCTCCTCAAACCTACGCTCTGCAGGTGTAGAAAGCCTCAATTGCAAAAGATGTCTTTGTAGTTCTTATGATTGACTTCTCTTTTCACATCTCCTCTGCTTACCATCCTCTTTCCACTGTTACATGATGGAAGTGTTTAGCTGAGTTGATTTGCCCAGCAGACAGGGAAGGGATTCTCCCCCAGCCCAAGCCCTACTATGGGAACATCCCAGCCAAAGCTATGCACAGACTAAGCAGTACACCCCAAACCAAACAAAGATAATAAGGAAGTTGAGTATATAAACAAACACAAATCCTACAGGATTAAGAGGTCTAGGAATCAAAGATCACAGGCCTTCAGAAAGCCTTTTCCTTCTAACTTAAGATACTTCTCCACCCCATCTCTTCAAGTCTCATCTAAAAACAGATTCCTCTTCACTTTCCACCATTTCCAAGGAATGCGGGGTCTGAGCAGCCCTCAGACATTAGTCACAGGATTACAATTGTGCCACTCAAGAGAAAGCAGCTATTAAAAGGCAGTGGTTCACAGCAAGCGCAAAAGCAGCCTCTGCTTGGGTCCTAAAGGCTTTTCAACCAAAGTTTTCACCTTATTCCACCTGCAGCAGGGCAGGAAAACTAGGGAGATGATCACTTTTACACACATAAATCAGAGCAGAAAAACCAACCTGTAAGTAGCAGGTGTACTGTAACTACTGTAAGTGCAGAAGCAATAGAATACCAATTTATATTCTAGTTGCAACTGGAGAATAGGTCTTAAAACTTGAAGTAGAGGATTTAAACATTTATTAAGCTGAAGAATGTAATATGCAGGTGGCTTTCACCATAATTCTTGGCTACTGCTCAAATATAAGTGGAACAGGAACTTACTTTGTTCCTTTGTCTGTTCAAGCAGGGAACTAAGAGCTACTTTAAAAGCGACTGAACAGAGCAGATGGAGAACGTTGTGATGGTTGATTAAAAGCATATAAAGATTCTGGGCTTGCTGCAGATACCACACCCTTATTTTTATGTCTGACACCCTTCTGTCATCCTTCTTTTTATATCTGGCAGCCTCACATGCATGGCCTAAAGCAGGCTTAATCTTCCCCAGATTCCACTCTCAAGAAGCACCATCACTGTAAAGTGGTCTCGGTCTCTGCTAGCCAAGACCAATTCCAACAGGGCTCTGCAGAAACAAACCCAAGTCCTAAACTAGGCCAGACAATGAAGTGGTACTTAAAGAAGAAACAGGAAATCAGGGAGAACTTGCCACTTCCAGGCAGCAAGTGGGTTTCTGAAGCCTTTTCTTTGTGGTATAGGCCATTTAACAGGATCTGGCTTGACACCTCTCAAGTATAGCCACCACTGCATTTCTCCAAGACAGGTATTACTTATACCTAAGCAATCACACTGAGAAAGAGCAAGGTATTTGCCTTTAACTGCCTATTTAGTGTTTATACAAGTTCTTATTATAATACAGCTTATACAAGTTTCAGGCTCACAATTTAGCACCTCACTCAACATGTGCATCAGTGCTTCTGTTACCACCAGCCACCTACGCTGTAGTCCTGCATCCTCTACAGCTTTCAAGTGGATACAATTTGTACCAAAGACGTAATACATGTACAGCTGCAAATTGTATAATGTTCTCATCATTAACTCTCACTTGTTTTCACATCTTAATTTACATGCAACAGCCTGGAACAAACCTTTGGTAGCTTTAAGGGATCTCAATTAAACCAGGAACAATTTGGCTAATCAAACTCTATTGTCCCAGCAAGCAAAAAGCTGAGCTGGGCTGGAAGGGAATCACTAGCAGTGCAGGTTAGACCTTGAGATCCTGAAGAGCCAGCACATGGAGGCTTTTTGTCTGCACAGAGTGGAAGACACAATCCTGCAACAAGCAACTGCTACCTCAACACTTTCTTTTGCTTACAGATGATTCACCAGCAAGGCTGGAGCCAATAAGCATAAGTGGCAATGGATGTAATTGTTTGAGACAGATGAGTGTATTTCAAATACACAAGTATAAAAGGCAGATGGAATATCTTATGATTCATGGAAGTAGGGGTTAGGAATCATGAGAGGTCTGTGGGGAAGATCTTTGTGGTTTAGCTGGATTTAAGTTCATGGGAGGTTTTGAACCAAGATGTAAAGTACTGTGTATAATGACAGATTGTGGCAGTACTTAGGTGGATGGAAGGGGTGACTTGGCAATGTTGAGGGAGAGTTCTAACATGCAACAGGAGTAGCATGTAGGAATAGATACACAGCTAGCAACCTGATCTAGCTGAAGATATCCCCGCTCATTGCAGTGGGGCTGGATTAGATGAAATATGAAGGTCCCTTCCAACCCAAACCATTCCATGATTCTCTGTGCAAGGGGTTTTAGGTATTGCTGACTTTAAGGAGTTATTTCATAATGAATTATAGCCTTGATTAAAAAGCTAAGAAATCTGTGTGTCATGGGCTATCCTGAATGTCCTATCCCATCTCTTGGCCTCTTATAATCACATCTTTCTGCTTAGTAAGATGTTCCACTTCCCTCTGTTATTCTCTGCTGAAAACTTCTCCACAGCACCAGGGACAGAAAAACTTCATCACTGCAAAAGGTGCTGTGTAATGTCCAAACCAGCAATAATAATAACAACAAGAATATAAAGCAATGTATCTGTTTAACTCTGTCTAAATTATCAGTTGAGGCAAAAGGACTGCTATATTAAAGATATATTCACAGGAGTACATAAAGGAGAAGTTTTTGCAAAGACAAACCTTTCTTCCAGCTTTCAGCGACTCCAGAACTGCTTTGCAAGCAAAAATCAAAATGAAACTTTCCACAACAAACCAACTTACCCCAATTTGAAAGAGCTCCCCAGCACCTTCACAGTCATTTGATGTAATTATGGGGGTATGAATATGCACGTAGCCGTTGTCCTGGAACAGACAGAACACTCATATTAAAGATACCAAATTCAAGGATAGCATCAACCGGCACACATCAAAACTCAGCTATCAGACTCCAACCAGGGCAGAGTTATCTGCTCTCTCAGTTAAGTTCTACCTTAATGGACAAAGGACTACCTAAATATTAGCATGATTTACAAATCCATGTTTACTACTTGTGCTTTTTCTTCCATGTTTCATAAAGAAATGAGATATATGTCATTACTATGGGGTTTTGCAACTGCCCATCTCCACTTCTTTCCCATTTCTTCTCACCTCCTCCAGTAACATTATATTTTTGGGCAGTTTCTATCAAATTCACCTCTATGGCCTCAATACTTCAGTTTCTTCCATGTTTTTGGAAGATGGTGGTTAGGTAGGGGATACTCTTGTAGTGTCCTCCACTAAGAGAAATAATCAAGTGTGTTAGGTAACACTGCATAGGAAAGAGACCTTAAGAACAGCCAACCACCACGAAAACATCAATTCCACCTCACATCATCTGAGATACTGAGGTCAAACTGATTTTGAGAGACAGGTTAGACCCTGGCTTGGTCATATTTTAGGTACCTGGAGAATTAATTACACATTCATGTAATAGTTCATAGATTCAGCAGAGGCCTCCAAGGCTGTATGAGGAAGGAACCCCTACTTTCTAGGTTTGTCTGTAGTGTAACCATGGCGTTTAAACCAGCTGCAACCCGATTTTCAGTGCATGGGTATATCAAGCCAACCTCAGACAGTCCCACACAGCATGCTAAGAGGCAAAACCAGGAATAGAACTCTACTGACCATCGCCTTCCTGATTTAATGTCACTCCAGAGATTACTGCTGGAGTACAGATCATACCTGTGCATGTCAAGGCGAACAAGAACCTAGAACAACCTGATTTCAGCTGTGAACAAGGGATTTGTTCTTCTCTCTTGCATCACTGTAACAAGGAAAACCCTTTAAAATCAGGGTGTGCCATGACACAGGCAATGATGTAACATAACCCATTGTCTATTTACTCAAAACACTGATAAAAAGGAAAAGTTTTTAAAAGCTTAGTTTCACAGCTTGTACCAGATTCATACAAACTGACCACTCACATGGTCCTGGTCCTTACCACCAGCTAGTTAAAAGGCTGGAAAGACAGGAGCAGTATTTATTGCCCGTCCTGAGAATCAAACTAAAACTACTTTGGACCAAAGAGATCATAAGGCCAGGCAATGCATTTTGTGGAAGTACTACAACACAAGAGGGAGCAAAGTCCCCACCATCAGCTCTATGCTACCTTGGTTACAGGTGAAAGACCTAAGCTTGCTCAGTGCCTGGCAGGAGCTCCTCACCTAGATCCAGGTACTACACAAGAAGTTTTGGAGCCAGCAGTACTGGCTTTGCCAGGGGAGGGTGGTTTCAGCCTATCAAAACCCAAATCTCTGCCACAATTCCAAGTGTACTCCAGAGATCTGCTGCTCATGGGCCTCCCAGCCCTACATGAGGTTTGGAAAATTGCCTAAAATCCTCAGGCAGTGGTAGGAGATGCTGCAAAGAAGCACATTTCACACAGAAGATCCCCTACACGCTTTGGAAAGGAATGTGAACTGCACAGGTCTCAAAGATGAGAAACCCATAAAAAGACTCCTGGATAATTCCCCTTACAAAAGCACCTAAAACACCTCAATATGACTCAAGTCCCATTACTGGTTCTGACAAACCTGGAAGTCAGTGGAAGTGTAAAGTGGAGGTTGCCATTCACATGGTGACTATTTCACTGTGTCTAGGAACAATGTGTCTATCCCACATGGACCACAAGACTCAGGAGAAGATTTAAAGATGACATTTTAGGCTTCAGCATCCAAACCAAAGGCATTTGGCATTAGACATTCACTGATGGAAATGAATAGGCTACAAATGTTTCTGAAGTTACAGCGAATCTAGATAATTTCAAGTGTGTATTAAAAAAACCTCCACTTACTTCCTTCCAGCATCAGGCTCTTCACAGCTCTGCACAGTGAAAACACTCAAAAGAATCACAGAATTGTTTGGGTTGGAAAGGACCTTAAGATCATCCAGTTCCAACCCCGTCATGGGCAGGGACGTTTCACATTAAACCATGTCACCCAAGGCTCTGTCCAACCTGGCCTTGAGCACTGCCAGGGATGAAGCATTCACAGCCTCCCTGGGCAACCCATTCCAGTGCCTCAGCTCCCTCACAGGGAAAAACTTTATATCCAACCAGAACTTCCCATTTCAGTCTGAACCCATCACCCCTTGTCCTATCACTACAGTCCCTGATGAAGAGTCCCTCTCCGCATCCTTGTATAATCCATTCTGATTATACTTCCTGGTTATGGTACGTTCTGCCACTGTCAAGCTGGAAACTGCAACATTTTGGGGATGAGGGCAAACAGTTTTGGTAGGTGGCAATTTAAAGGCAGTTTTCCTTCCATCAGAAATGGAGCAAACTACAGATGTTCCTTGTGAAAGGAGAGTCATGACATAAGTAACTGCAAATATCAGGTCTGAGACCAAATCTTCCTCATCCTTTTAAGTATAACTGTAGTGCAGTTGCTGATACTAAATTAATGATACTTTATATATTTTAATGCTGCTCAGCTCGTGAACATCTTGAACTGGAAGGTATGTCAGAGCTTGAACAGCAATTAATTTGAAGTAAACCCTCTATCACAGTAAGATGCTCTATCTGGGCTGCCTTCCTCGCCCATGTTTGAAATCACAAATGGTTGTAGGCAATGCCATCTAGTGGCTCCACACCAGTAAAGACTGCTGCCCAACAGAGCTGGGTTGTGTCTTTCCAGATAGCACAATGCTGAAACAACAGCAGCTTTACCTGACATGCTTATTCTATTAAGAAACTAATATCCAAATTACATAAAAGTCTCCCAAATACTATCCAGTTCCACACACATAATTTATAGAGCAAGCAAGCCTTCTTTGCCATGGCAGGAGACATGCACAAACATGTTTGGGACCAGAAAATAAACCCTAATGATTTTCACGTTATTCAGGCTGTACTCATCATTACACACAAGATTTTTAATCAGAACGCTCTTAATATGATTCTACTCAAACTAAAACCAGTTGATCTAAACTAAAAAATGCATCAAAATGAGCGTGAGCAGCAGGTCGACAAAGCAGATTCTCCCCCTCTGCTGCACTCTGGGGAGACCCCCCTGCAGTCCTGATCCAGCTCTGGGGCAGCAGCACAAGAGGGACGTGGAGCTGTTGGAGTGAGGCCAGAGGAGGCCATGGAGATGCTGCGAGGGCTGGAGCAGCTCTGCTCTGGAGCCAGGCTGAGAGAGCTGGGCTGGGGCAGCCTGGAGAAGAGAAGGCTCCTGAATGGGAGCAGCTCCAGTGCCTAAAGGGGCTGCAGGAAAGCTGGAGAGGGGCTTGGAACAAGGGCCTGTAGGGACAGGCCAAGGGGAATGGCTTGAACCTGCCCGAGGGGAGACTGAGCTGAGCTCTTAGGCAGAAGCTCTTCCCTGTGAGGGTGCTGAGGCGCTGGCACAGGGTGCCCAGAGAAGCTGTGGCTGCCCCATCCCTGGCAGTGTTCAAGGCCAGGTTGGACACGGGCTTGGAGCAAGCTGCTCTAGTGGAAGGGGTCCCTGCCCATGGCAGGGGTTGGAACTGAAGGAGTTTTAAGGTCCTTTCCAGCGCAAACCAGTCTGGGATTTGATGATTTCAATGAACAGCTTTAAAAGAAAGAGCCCAGGTGTGCTAGAGGCATTGCTACCTTTATCTACTCACACAAAGTATCACACTTTATACAGAATCTGTGGAGTTAATTTGCTGCCTGCACCACCTGAACACAGCCTGTGCCATGCCCACAAGTTGAATGAGACATGTTCATAAAACACAGGTGCTCCCCACCCATCAGTCTGTAATGCATCAAAACAGGAGTCTCCCAGTCTCAGCTAACAGCATTCATACAGACTTGCAACCCAGTAACAGAAAGGTAAGAACTGAGAAGAAAAGTGTGAAGCTCTGAGTCAGTTTGTCACAGCCTTCTTGCATCACAGATTTTTCTGTGTGGGATGAGGCTTCTATCCAAGGACTGTAAGGTCACTGCAGAGGATGGGTTAAACAACTCCATATTATGTTGTGTTCCACAGACCACACACACTCAAGGGCAAACATATTGCAACTTAGGGAAAGGGATAAAATAACTAACAGGAAGTGGGTGGAAAGATGCTAACAAGACTAGAGATGTGCTGACCTGATCATTAAGCAACAGAGTGGCCAAGGCCTCAGCCAGGCCCAAGCCTGGAAAGAAAACCACCATGTCTAAAATCATCAAATCCCAGATTGGTTTGGGTTGAAGGGACCTTAAAGCTCATCCAGCTCCAACCCCTGCCACAGAAAGGGACCCCTTCCACTGGAGCAGCTTGCTCCAAGCCCCTGTGTCCAGCCTGGCCTTGAGCACTGCCAGGGGTGGATGGGGCAGCCACAGCTTCTCTGGGCACCCTGTGCCAGCGCCTCAGCACCCTCACAGGGAAGAGCTTCTGCCTAAGAGCTCAGCTCATTCTCCACTCGGGCAGGTTCAAGCCATTCCCCTTGGCCTGTCCCTACAGGCCCTTGTCCCAAGCCCCTCTCCAGCTTTCCAGCAGTCTCTTTAGGCACTGGAGCTGCTCTCAGGTCTCCCCTTCAGGAGCCTTCTCTTCTCCAGGCTGCCCCAGCCCAGCTCTCTCAGCCTGGCTCCAGAGCAGAGCTGCCCTTGCAGCAGCTCCATGGCCTCCTCTGGCCTCGCTCCAACAGCTCCATGTCCCTCTTGTGTTGCTGCCCTCAAAGCTGAATCCATACCTTGCAGTCAGGATAACAGATTCCCTCCCTCCCAGCGTGCTCCCATGAAGCCAGACTTGGGGAGAGTTTTAGACCTAAGCTCAGTACAGAGGGGAGTACCTGGAAGAACGAGTGGATGCTTGCAGTGGCTTCACTGCGGATTCTCAAGAGGGAGCCGAGTGTGTTGTTTCTGCATCGCAAGTGAGGGAACTGTCGGACATACTCCAGCGGGTGCCTCTCCTTCATTTTCAGGGGGAACAACTGGAAACAGGGAAAGAAAAATAAGAGGATGAGAACTTGGAGTCAGTGTAGTTTTACTGCTGTTCATGGGATACTATTTCTGTCTACTAAAACTCAACTGTCATTACACAACACCGAAGAACTGGATGCTTTTGCCTATCTTCTAGTTATTCTGTGGATTTTATAATGCTTACAGCAGAGCAAGAGCCATGAACACAAGAGACCGAAATGCTCCACCCTTTTGGACATTGAGTCTTCTTGAAGTCCATTTCACTCCTGCAAAGGGGAGCTGGTTCCAAACATGCCTGTGGCAGGTACGGTTCTTCCTCCTGCATAATCTGGAGTTTTTTGCCAGTTCCACTGCTTCTCCAATTCACATCCCAGCCAGACTGAATCAGGTGAATCACCTGGCACAGGCAAGTGCTTCTGGGCAGGAGAAGCTGCTAGCATGTGTGCCAGTTTCCATGTAGAAACAGCTCTGCCCCAGAAGAGCTTTCACGGTGATCCCCTGAGGTACCGTTGAGGTACCATACAGACACTGCTGACAAATCAAAGCCTGCAGGATCAATCAGACTTAAAGAAACTACAGTCTGAGCACACTCTGCTGCATACTTGGACCTTCTGAAATAATTTCCAAAGTGGTCCTACCAGTCGGGCTCCTGCTGTAGTGACATACCAAAGCATTACAAGGTCCCACCACGCAGATGGTTTCAGCTTTCAGCTCCATGTTTTGCATCTTATGAGGACTTTTGACCAGTTTCCCTTGCACTTCCACTGCGCTTCCAAAAGTCAGGTCCCTAAAAGACCAAGAAAAAACAACATTCAGAAGACAGATTCCTGTTCATGTAGCTGGACCACTTGAGTTCACAAGAGATACTGCAGCCATAAGGCTTAATCCAAGAACTGAACGTTTATTAAATGCACAAGTGGGAATGTGAATAGATTCACAAAGCTATAGAAGAATTCAGGACAAGTTAGGAATGTTGAACAACTAAGGGGAAAAGAGACAAGGGGCTCCTGTGGGGACAAACTAGGCTTATAAAGAAATAAAGTTAAAACAATCAAGTTACATGCTGAAGGTTCCTGGATCATCCCAGAACTCCCAACCCCAACCCAAAGAACAACCGAGAGTAACAAACAAAATGAAGCTGTAAAACAAGTGCATTACTTTATTATAGTACAACAGTCATGCCTATCTAGGGGTTATGCCTACCAAGCCTGCCCTGAGGTAGTTATAGTAAGAACAACAGCCTTCCAAAACCTGAGGGACAGTTATTCCTGGTTATCCCTGGCTATGTTGTGCGATATCCAAGCAAGTCCAGCAGTAGTCCAGAACGACCACACTACTACAGCTATTAAGAAAATGAGCTCCAAATTAATCTCAGAAGACAAGATACTGAACCACAAGGCCCCAGCTAAGTGGAGACAGAGTAATCAGACATGTTCCATTCTAAAAACACATCCAGAAAGCCCGGAATGCCAAAGGGTCTTTCTCATGGTCAGGTAAGTGACTGGCAAGAGGAAAGGAGGCCTAAAGAGACCCCATCAAGCACTGGTCACCACATATTTCCTCAGGTGTCTCAAACAGACCAACCTGTTTTCCAGGCTGGGATCAGCAACGATCTGGAGGCTTTCCAGAGAACTCCCATCATTTATGTGTAGGAACAAAACTTCCTTCTGGGATCGGACAGAGCGGACCCAGCCCTAGAGATAAAAGAAAAAGGAATTTGTTATTTCTTGGCATCAGCTCAGTGTCGTGATAATCTTTTTCCAGCTGAGCAGGACAAGCTACTTTAGCCTTATTTTAACTTCTTACCGAAATCAAAGGAAATATTTCTTTAGGGACAACAAAAAATTAAAAGGACAAATCAGTTTTTCTATTGACTTCAAAGCAAAGAGAAAAAAAAATCCTTAGGCAGAGACATCAAATCTCCTCCTGAGCCCAGGAGGGGTAGCTAAGACCAACCTGCACCTCTGAGGTGCTGAGAATACAGAAAGAGTGTTCTGAAGATGAAAAGCATTTTAGCAAAGTACATATTCTTATTAGTGATGTCCCTTCAAAACATTGAAACAGAAGAGAGTAGGGATGCACAGTCCTTTATAACACACTCAAGACTGTTTGGATGCTGTTCAGCCTCGAGGAGAGAAGCTGCGTGGGGAACTCAGAGCAGCTTCCAGTGTCTGAAAGGGGCTACAAGAATGCTGGAGAGAGACTCTTCATTAGGGATTGTAGTGATAGGACAAGGGGTGATGAGTTCAAACTGAAACAGGGCAAGTTCAGGCTAAATATAAGGAAGAAGATCTCTACTGCGAGGGTGCTGAAGCACTGGAACAGGTTGTCCAAAGAAGTGAATGCTCCATTCCTGGCAATATTCAAGGCCAGGCTGGACAGAGACTTGGGAGACACAGTCTAGTGTGAGTCATCCCTGCCTGCTACGGGGGGTTTAACTGGATGATCTTAAAGTCCTTTCCAACCCAAACCATTCCATGGATCTATGATTTTATGATTTTTGGTATCAATTTTTTGTTGCTATATCACCTATAGGGAGGTTCTGACTGAAATCTGTACACTAAAATAAAACCTAATGCCCTGAATGCTTCCCCTTACACTTCAAATTCAATACTGATGAAAAGATGCATTAAGAAGAAATCTAGCCATGTTCTTGTCCAGTTTGACTAAAAGAATTAAAAGAGTAGAAGCAGTTCTTTGTGACAGTAAAACAACAGAACTGGCCATGTACCTGTTCAGTTAACTTCATTTGAGTTTTCAATGAAAAACAGTATTTCCTTTAAAAGAAATTACAACTTAAGTCAGCACCAAGCCACCAAGCAAAAGAAACAGCATCCAAAATACAACTTCCTCAGTTGGTCCCCAGTTCACAAGTGTTGAGACAAAGCTGCCCTTAAAAGCAAAACTATCTGCTGGGGAGCTCCCAGCTCATCTTATGATAAAACTATAGAGAACAACCAGAACCAGTGCTGACTGAAGAACCAAACTGCCTCTTTTCCAAGCAGTTTTGTCTTGTTTAACTGGAAGAGTCCAAATTGTTCCAATAACTTCAAACTACACAAGTACTTTAGGGATTTTATGTCAAACAAATGTGAATCCATCAACTTCTGTTGTCTAGACTGAGCCATCTTCAGGCATTGAATAGTACCAAAAGCACTCTTAAAACTACCATGTAACTACTAACACACACAAGGCATTAGCCAGGTTTGTATAGCAGGAAGAGGACAACTGCATACAAGAACTGTGGAAGGTTTTAAAGCCACAAACCCAACAATCAATGAAACCTCAGCTTTTGCTCCAGGCTCACGACTTCAGACATTTACCTAAATGACCTCTGCAGGATGTTTTCACCTGAAACAAGAACTACTGCAAGAAATCAGAGTCTAAAACTAAAGTGTGATCATTTGGGCACCCTCATATTCTTAGGACTAAAGAAGCAGGTGTTTAAAAGGTACTTCATACTGTAACATACCTGAAGCTGTTGTGCTTATCCTCAGCATTCCACTAAATCCCCAGAACTTGTAGCATACGTTATACTTGATGCATGTTTAATGCATAATGGCAGACTGTTTTCTTAGTTTCTTTCCTCTTAAGTGCTCCTTAACAAAACACACAAAACCCCTGAAGAATGAAACATTTTCCACCTCATCAGGCTGTCCTGGGATCTGTTAAGGAGCTGAGTCTTGCATCCTGCAACAGGAAATAAGAGCATACCCACAGGCCTGCAGGGGAGGAGCAGGGGCTGCGGCAGCAGTGCTTTGACCACCTCACACTTTACCAGAAGCAATGTGTAATGACAATCCCAACTCAGAGCAGACTGCACATTCCAACGACCTGGCTGTAAGAAGGTTGGGTTTAAGCCAGATCAGTTCCCCAACCCAGTTTAATACAAAAACACCCATTTTGCCAGCATAGAACCAGAGCACCAAAGCAGCAAGGACCTGGGGTAATAAAAAGCCAGCATTGCCAATTTCAGCATCAGTTTATTCTAGCTTGCATTATTCACAGAACTAAACTGAAAAGCATCTGTACTGGATGAGCTGCTTCCTACCCCATTAGGCTTCATCTGTGTGTGTGCAGGAACACCAGTGTGTTTGAAACTGGTTTTGGGGTCAGTAGAATCCCAGACTGGTTTGGGTTAGAAGGGGCCTTAAAGCTCATCCAGCTTCAACCCCTGCCACGGGCAGGGACAGCTTCCACTAGAGCAGCTTGCTCCAAGCCCCTGTGTCCAACCTGGCCTTGAGCACTGCCAGGGATGGGGCAGCCACAGCTTCTCTGGGCACCCTGTGCCAGCGCCTCAGCACCCTCACAGGGAAGAGCTTCTGCCTAAGAGCTCAGCTCAGTCTCCCCTCTGGCAGTTCAGTTTAACACTGTTACAAGTAGCCCAGCCCTTTACAGATTCACCCAGAAATACTGACAACTGCACAGTCCTAGCCAAGGGCCTTGCACTAAAACAGGGACTACAGACCTGCAAGCACTACTCTGGCTGTGGAGCACCAGAAAACAGGGGGACACACAACTGTGTGCTGAGGAAAGTGCAAGAGTTCCATTGCTAAAAAGCCCATTTATCCCAGTTTACCTTGGTGCATAACAGGAAATGGTTATATATGAACACCAATTAAACTGTTATCATTGGCTTTAGCTGACACTACTATAAACCCAGACGTAGAACAAGGCTCAAAGCAAACCAAGGAATGGTTTGGATTGGAAGGGGGTTGGAAGCTCATCCAGTTCCACCGTCCCGCCATGGAAACCCCTGGATCTCTGTAGGAAAACTGCATTTACACAGCCCGGCAGGAATCTTACCCTCAAAGCTGTAAAACCATCATCACAGAGGCAACGCTTCACTCTCTCAAACCAGTCAGGTGATAAAACCCAACGTGTAAAGTGCATATTTCAGTACAACCCATTACAGTACCAGCCTCTCGCTGCACATCCTGAGTAACTTCACAGCTCTGAAGCTGACTTAACAACGTCAAACTGAATTAACACAGTGAACCTGGCTCTGCAGACTGCAGACGGAATCTGTAACCAAAGGAAAACGCTCTGCAGAGGCTCTATTTCGTCTCCCTGAAGCACCGGGGTGCCCAGCGCAGCCCAGGCCCCCTCCCGGCCGCCAAGGCTGTGGGTGACGGCGGCACACCGCCACCTCCCCGCCACACACCTGCACTTTAACCTGCTCCACCGGCTCCGGGGCCCGCAGCGCCTCACGGACCCGCAGCACCCGCGGCAGGGAAGCGCAGCGGCGAAGGCCCCGCCACCACCCGCCCCGGGCCCGCAGCATGGCGCAGGCCTAGCGGGGCCGCTCCCGCAGCCGGCCCGGCCGCATCCCGCCACGGCCGACAGCTACCGCCCGGCTCCCGAGAGGCGAGACGACACGCCTCCCGGAGCATCATGTGACCATCTTAACCAATAGCCGCAGGGGGCTGCCCCAGAGAGCCAATCGGAACTGAAGCGCACCCATCGCGAGAACGGCCTCTTCCTCCGCCATGGCGAAAGGGCTTCTGGGAAATGTAGTTCGTAAAGGCAGGAGGACGGGATCCCCATGGCCGGAATCTGTATGGTAACGGGGAAGGGATCCCCGTTTTGGGACACAAGGGATCCTCATGGCTCGGGTAAAGGATGCTGCTGCTCTCTGGGACCTTGGCAGTGCTGTGGTTGCCTCCTCTTGTGAGGTATATAGGAATGATTCGTGTCAGAAACTTAGGAGTCCTTGTCAGCATTGCACTTTGGGAGGAATCGGAAATCATGTGTAGAATGTATAGGAATGATCAGATTACGATGGGAGTTCCTGTAAATACAATGATGAAAGAAAAGAAGGAACAAAGGAATAATCCTTCCTAATCAAAGTCTTTGTTACTTTAAGGGGTACTTTAACTACTTGAATGTCTCAGATGCTTTGCTAACTACAGAGGGTGTTTTGTTTAACTGCTTGAATACCTTAAGGGGGTTAAGTAATCAAGGGATACATTCTGTTACGGGATGAGGTGAAACTTGTGTAACTATATAAGAAATGGAATTGAGGGGGCTAAGACAGTGGTTAAGCTTGTGACAGACATTCCCTGTTAATGTATTGCCAAGGAATTCAATGACTTTTTAAGAAGTTTCATCACCCAAAGATAAGATCCCAGCAACAGGAGGAGAACAATGAAAAAGAATCACGTCGGTATTTGGGTGAAGGAGACGACAGGATTGGCTGAAACCCAAGACCGAGGAGTATAAGACACTGTACCCCAGAACTCTCGGTGTGCGTTGCTGGTGGAGTGAAGGCTCCCCTGCGCACCCAGCGTTCCTTGCTTATTGCTTCTCAATAAATTGTAAATAAATTAAATTTGGACCAAAACCCTGTCTATGCTAAATTTTTATAACACTCTGCCTCAAGAGCTCTGCCTGGTCAAGGAGGGGAAGGGGCCAGGCTGAAACACCTGAGGAAAAAGACAGTTCCAACTGGGATCTCAGCCAGGCCAGGCTGCAGCCCTGCCCCTCAACCAGCCCTTGTGGGAGCAGGATGGAGGGAGAAGCTGTATTTCAGGGATGATCTGTAACCTCCTGTGCTCCTGAATCCCTCTCTCATACAGCGGGATAAGCACTGGATCGACCTGTGCTTTTCCTAATCAGGGATGCAGGATGTGGTTCTGCTCTGCAGGCCTTACTGGGGGACAAGGCCCTTTTTCTGTCCCTTTTTCAGCCTCACAACCTTCAGCCCGTCTAGCTCCACAGAAGGAGAAGTGTTTCCAGCTCTATGGAGAAGGATTTGGGAATAGTGGTGAGCAAAACCTGGACAATGCACGCTCACAGCCCTGAGATTCAACCAGATTGTGGGCTGCATTAGAAGCATGGCTAGCAGGTCGAGGGAGGTGATTCTACCCCTCTGCTCCACTCTAGTGGGATCCCACCTGGGGGTCTCTGTCCAGCTTTGGCATCTCCAGCACAAGAAAGATGTGGACCTGTTAAAGTGAGTCCAGAAAATAATCAGAAGGCTGGAGAATCTCCTATGAAGAAAGGCTGAGAGAGGTGGGATCATTCAGCCCCAGGAGAAGGCTTCATGGGCATCATATTGCAGCCTTTCAATGCTTAAAGGGGGCTTATAAGATGGAGAGAGACTTTTTGCTAACGCCTGTAATGACAGGGCTCAGGCAGTGGTTTTAAACTGTAAGAATCGAGATTTAGATTGCACATGAGGGAGAGCTCTTCCCTGTGAGGGTGCTGAGGCGCTGGCACAGGGTGCCCAGAGAAGCTGTGGCTGCCCCATCCCTGGCAGTGTTCAAGGCCAGGTTGGACACAGGGGCTTGGAGCAAGCTGCTCCAGTGGAAGGGGTCCCTGCCTGTGGCAGGGGTTGGAGCTGGATGAGCTTTAAGGTCCCTTCAGCCCAAACTGTTCTGTGTTCTATGAAAAAGGGATAACATCAGTGCTGCTTCCTCACCCAGCCTAGGCTTTGCCTCTCTATTCTGCCCTTTGCCTGGTCCATGTATGTTCCTCTTCTTACACAGTCACACCACAGGAAGGCAGCAACAGAACATACCTGCTGTGCTCGTGGTCAGAGATTGCCTAATTCCTGTGCATTGATGTTTGGAGTCCGGCGGGTGAAATGAGACAGCAGCAGTGTGATGCCCCAGGGCCAGGAGGTGCTGGGGGGCAGCTTTGGTAGGGAGGCAAATCCCTGCCTCGCTGAAAGTCAAAGTCTCAGGTACGAAAAGAACTGCCAGCCAGAGAGCTCGTTTAAAAGGAACAAGCTGGGCTCATGGGAAAGGGAAGAGCAAAGCTTTGTAGATGCAGATGCCTGGTTTCAGCTTTTCCCTGGGGTGCTTTTTATCTGTGCATGAAAAGCTGCTTGTCCTCAAAGTCCCCATGCTGCTTGCCAGGGCCTTCCTTCACCTCTGCCTTTGCTCCCATTTAGCCCATGTCCCTGCCTGTGGCTCTTAGTCTTGACCTGAGCTCTGAGCTGCTTTGAAAGGCCATCCTGAGGCATTAGAGCTTCAGGGCAAGGGCACAACATAACTGGGTGGATAAGAAAGAGGAAGGAAAGGAGACTGCAGGAAGGGCTGCAAGTGCATCCTCAGCCAATGAGGACAACTTGTCTCTTCCATGCTCCTCCAAGGAATGAGGCAGACTGCCCGTACACATGCAGGTTAATCCTTAGCACTGGGGACAGAGGGACACACATGTCTTGGTACTCTTAAGTGAACAAAATGAGTTTTGTTTTAATGCCAGGCACCATCCCCTCCTGTAAGAGCCAGCACTGAGCTTTGGTGGCTGTTGGTACAGTGATGTGATGTGTTCTCTGAGACAGTCACAGCTCAGGAAGGAGCTGGTGCTGCTTCTGTGTCAGTGTCAGGCAGAGATACAGGATGTAAACTGGCAGGAAAAGAGGGCTCAGTCGTTCAGGGAACTCCTGGCTTAATGTGAGGGTTAAACAAGTGCATAATGACTGTTCAGTGCATGTTACATGTTCTTTCTGTCCTGTCACAGACAGTGCATTTCTGACTGCTCTCAGCTATAGGTTTTTCTCTCTTGTCCAGCCCATACTGCAATAGAATATCTTTTTTTCCAGTGTTATTTGACTCGTAAAATCCTTTTTAGGCCAAATAAAGAATTAATTTAGGGAAAAATTAGGGAGTAACACCAATGACAGTTTAAATACACCAGGAAAGGGGTAAGGTCCTTCCTCTCACACCCATCTGTTCCACGGCCAGCTCTGAGTCTTTGGAAGGAAGAGGAAAGTGTGGCCTCAAGTTTACAGGACTGGAATTGCACTTTTTCCATCTGGATGAATCTATTTTTTTCTAAAGACCAAATGATGTCACTGGAGAGGGCAGGAATTTGGTCCCCAGCACAAAAAGGATGATGAATCAAAGTGCAAAGCTAATGGTGTCTCAAATGGCTTTTCATGGAGTCACTGAGTGGCTTGTGTTGGAAGGGACGTTAAAGCTCATCCATTTCCAACCCCCTGCTATGTGCAGGGACACTTTCCACTGGAGCAGCTTGCTCCAAGCCCCTGTGTCCAACCTGGCCTTGAACACTGCCAGGGATGGGGCAGCCACAGCTTCTCTGGGCACCCTGTGCCAGCGCCTCAGCACCCTCACAGGGAAGAGCTTCTGCTTAATGCCTAATGTAAATTTGCTTTCTTTTTTGCCTTTTCTTTTTATTTCTACCTGTTCTGCTCTTGGTCTCAGCGTTACCTGACCTCCTGCTCCATACACCCTGATCTACACCATACTCGCTTTTACCAAGTTCCTCACCTGGGGCTGATGTTACCAGGACTTGCTTACATTTCTGTGAGCTTTTCCAGGCTCCTGGACTGCAGACAGTGCTCATGTGCTGACAGCAATTTGTATTAAGATGCCAGGAGCATAGACAGGGGTTGCTGTGTTCCCCAGCAAACATCAGTGTATTCCAGAGCTGAACCATGGCCCCAGTGAAAACACTAGATCTCAGTTTGTCTCAGTAGGTCTGTATGGGTCCATGTGGTGCTGGAGCTAAGTTATTGCTCTATTCCTTCTCTTTTACATGACCTGAGTGTTTTAGTGCCGTTTCAGGTGTCTGCAAAGACATGGCAGTGTCTGAGTGTACATTTTGTTTCTTTCCCTGCAGAACAGAGCTCTTCTAACAGCTCTCCAGAGGGCATTGCTGCTGTTTGTGGCTGAGATCTTTAATGTAAGTCTGGCTGGGAGGCAGGAAGCTGGTTGTCAGGGTGTCTGCAAGGAGGGAGGTTTAAAGGATGGTGACAAATAATGATGCTTCTCTACTCCCAGCGGGGTGTAAGGGCTGTAGAGAAAGCATGGAGCAGTGGTGGGAAAAGGGCATCAAACAGGCAGGAGTAGAGAATCAGCCTTATGCTTGTCACCCCCTTGGCACCATCCATATAATAATGTCCAACCTGGCAGGAGAAGTTCTCTGAAGTGCCTCCTCTATGGATGTTTCCGCCTGATGCTTTAGCTCCAGATTGTCTCCACATGGAGCCTCCTCAACCCATTTGCTTCTACGTCTTTCTGTTCCTTCTCTTTGTCCTTCCTGCTGGATGGCGGAGGAAGAGCTCCACACAGTCCTGCTATTGAAGTGAATTTCCTTGTTCCATTCTGACTCAGAGATCCTCCAGACCTGGCCAGGGAGTGGGACTCTAACAATTGCAAGAAACAGGGTGGGAGTGGTACAAAGCAAAAAATCAGATAGAATCATAGAACAGTTAGGGTTGGAAAGGACCTTAAGATCATCTAGTTCCAATGCCCCTGCCATGGGCAGGGACACCTTGCACTAAACCATGGCACCCAAGGACACTTGAACACTGCCAGGGATGGAGCATTCACAACCTCCCTGGGCAAGATCTTGCCTCCTCCTTGATGACACTCACCTGACTGCTGTCCGGGTTGTCCTGGTTTGTCCATGTAGCTTGGAATTGGAGATGCTGTTGCAGAATAACTCTCCCCTCAGGGCTGGGTGTGTGGAATTCTTTCCCGTGTCTCCTCCTGAGAGACCTGAAGATGCATTTGCCAGCAGTGACACTTTCAGTGAGGGCTTTTATCAGCAGCAGAGTCCACTGTTCATGGATCTCTGTCTGGAGTCCTGAGTATCCCCAGAGAGTCCAGCATCCTTTTGACTACCATCAGCTTGTACTTCCTACTTAAAGCTTGATATAGCAGCTTCAGGGCAGATAAAGGACTATGCATGCAGAGCATGAGCATGTCTTCCCAGAAGGAAGGAAAGTAAGGCAGATAGATAAATCCTTGTTAACCTGTGGATAATATGCAGTTCTTCAACCTGACAGACTCCCTGTGGTTATGAAATCTTCTCACCGTATCAGCAGATGCCCTTTGGTGTCCTTAAAGGTCCCAGTTTGAAACTTAGATGCACAAGACAGCCAACATCCTGCTGTGCCTTAGAGGTAGGAACGGGAACACTGTGGTTAGAAAGTGTTGGCCTTTATTTGCAGTGGTACCTTGGTAACCTGAAATGAAGCACATTTGTCTTTATTCCAAAGTAAAGAATCTGTATTTCTTTGTTTCACAGTAGTAACTTTCCAGTGAGATGAGATACAATATGTAACGCATTCCTGCCAATAAATATGGTTGATTTTCCCTAAGCAAATCACTAGTTTAAATGTGTCATTCTTTCTGTCTCAAATTCCATTTTTTTTCCTGAATCCTTTGCTAAAAACAAACCCAAAGCAAACGCAAAAACTTCCTACCGTGTCCTTTAAGTTTTGCTTTATCTTTCCCAGGAGATAAAGGGGAGATGTTGACCCTCTGTCAGAGGGTGTTGTGGTTTAACCCCACAACTAACCCCACACAGCTGCTCACAGACTTACCCCAGTGGGATGGGGGAGAGAACTGGAGAAGTGGGAAAACTCGTGGGTTGAGACAGAGACAGTTTAACAGGTAAAGCAAAAGCAAAACAAGGGATTCATCCACCACTTCCCATGGTCAGGCAGGTGCTATGCCATCTCCAGGACAGGCTCCATTACATGTAATGGTGACTTGGGAAAACAAACGCCATCACTCCCAGCATTCCCCCTTCCTCCTTCTTCCCCAGCTCTGTATTCTGAGCTCGCATCCTATGGTGTGGTATGGGAAGGTATTTCCTTCCAAAGACCAAATGGTATCACAGGGGAGGGCAGGAATTTGGTCCATCAGTCCCAAATCAAAATGATGATGAAGCAGAGTGCAAAGCTGACAGGCTCTCTGATGGCTTTTCATAGAGTCACAGACTGGTTTGGGTTGGAAGCGGCCTTAAAGCTCATCCAGTTCCAACCCCTGCCACAGGCAGGGACACCTTTCACTAGAGCAGCTTGCTCCAAGCCCCTGTGTCCAACCTGAACCTGAACACTGCAAGAAGATGACTATAATGCTGGGCTTTGTGCTGGGCTTCATCGTGGTGATATTCATCATCTCTTAGAAGAAGAAGAAAGGTGAATTATTCATGAGCTAAGTAGAAACCCATTCTTAATGGGGCTGCAGAGAGATGTTTTAAAGCCTTTAAGGCTTCACTAGAATTCAGATTTACCATGATCATTTCCTTGGCTTCCCAGCATTCCAGTGGGTTTTATATAGCCTAATCCAATATGTGCAGAAGCCAGTGCTAGCTTTTAATTTATTTTAACTGATGTTAGATTGGGCTTTCAGTGATGAGGAGCCATTTTAGAACTATCATCAGCTGCTGAAAGGTCAGCCCAGTCCTCTGAGATACAGTCCTAGGCTATGGTGATGGTTTCTTACGAGTACCAAACTAGCTACTCCCTTCACAAATGTTTCCACATTGCTTTGGTGCAGATGTATTTTGTACTCTCTAGAAACAAATACATTCCTGCTTATTTATGGAAGGATTAAATTCCTTTCTTTTGAAGCTGAATAGGGGAAAAAAAGGAGAGAACATTATCTTCCAGAAAGAGGCATTCTTTTTCTCACAACGTTGGCTTGGGTAACAGCATCTTACCCAGCCTTTGTTTTCTTCTTTCTAATAGTTTAAGAGTATTAGGAGTACAAACAAGTGTTGGGTAAGTCATTGTTGTGTAGTATCTTTCATGGTTTAACAAGGAATATCACTCAGCTTCATCCTATACTGTTGTTTTTCCTTAAGCAAACTCCCCTAAGCAAGCCACATCTGATGTACCCCTTCGCTCCCATTAATTCTCAGCCTATGGGTTGAGGTCACCAGCATCAGAAGGAGCTGAATTCCCTGCCCACCATCCCAGCTGTTAGTAACTAGGCAAGAAAAGACTTGGTGCTGAAAATGCTGAAACCCCTTTCCTTCGACCCAAATATCAGTTTCTCAGTGAGCTATGATGAGAGCAGTGTATAGGTTTGACTCTATAGGAATCAGTTTTCAAGTCAGATCAGAGCCTGAGCTTGTTGCACTTCTATTGTTCAAGTTATCCAAGGGATAAATGCCTTAGGTAGGTCTCCAAGGTCTCTCAGAAATGGAACTAAAAATCATTTGGGTTGGAAAGGACCTTAAACCTCATCCAGTTCCAACCTCCAGCCAGCTTGGATGTGGCTTGGAGCAGCTTGGTATAGTGGAAAGGGTCTTCCCCATGGTTAGAACTCAATGATCTTAAGGTCCTTTCCAACCCAAACCATTCTATGATTCTATAATAGTGCTGCAAGCAGCTGCAGGAGGCAAGCCAGAGCACCCCAGCCCTGCACTCACCTGGAGAGAGGAGGGGGATAAATACTAGCATTTCTAAGAAATGCTTTGTCCTTTGAGCGATTTATCTAAGTGTCTGCAAGGATTTAATAACTGGGAGCTAATTAAAGGCACTAATTAACCCCGTGTTTAATCTCAGCTCATCGCTAGCTCTCTGTGCTGCGGAAGCAGAGATGTAGTCCCATATATCATGACATCCAGCCACGTTGCTTAATTGTGATTCCTCTGCACACGGTGCAGGCACTGAGCCACTAAGGTGATGGGAGGAACATGGAAGCCCATGTACAGGAGAAAATGAGAGGGGAGAAGCCGGCCCTGTGTGACTAACAACCTAGGATATCATTTCCATGTAGAGCATGCTGACAGTCTAATTCATTTCCCCTCCCCATTAGCAGTTGTTTGTTCTTATTGATGCCACTGCTTTGCCAAGGGTAATGGGAGCAATCTTCTGATGACAAGATGGCCATGTTACTCCTTGGCTCCATCTTTGTCACCATGGGCTCAAGCTGTTCTGCTACAACGAGGAGGAGGATGCTCTTTCTCCCTTCTCACCATAGTTCCCCATGGACTTGTTTTTCTGTGAGGGTTTATACGGGTGCTACAGGTAGTACTTTGGTGTACAGCTCACATAGCCAACTCTCAGATGTCCATGAGCTGTTTCCTCAGTGCCACAGGAGAAGGGACATCTGAAGCGACTGCCCAGAGCCAGCTCAGTCCAGAAGTACATCAGGAGCAATCGGATTTTCCTGATTCCAAGGCTGGATAATTCCTCCTGGCTCTGGATCTGTGCAACCCTGGAGCATGTTGGTGGGTTTGTGGATTGTGGTAGGCCCACATAGGAGAAACAGAGAGGATTCACAAGGTTGAAAATCCTTGCGCATCAGACCATCATCCTGATACACACTCCTTGTTTATGCAGTATTTAGTGGGGAGCATCTTAAATCCCATCATTGCTTCTCACAGCTGGCAAGGAAACTGTGCCTGGGAAGCTACCAAGAACCACAGAGTGCCCAACCTAGGGTAGAATAATAGCCCCCAGCAGCACTATTTAAAACAGCAGCATCATGTTCCCTTCTGTAACTCCATCTACCCACTGTTCATTAATTGCTGCTAATGTAAATATGGGATGGAGATGAGCTTCTCTCAGGCTCATAACCTCAACTTGGGGTCACAACTCCTTCTTTAGGAGTTACTGGATTAAATGTGTTTGGAAATGAGTCTGTGTAAGCATTAAATCAGCTGGAGAAACAGGCTGCAGTGAGGGGATGAAGCAGTCACCTTGATTGGAAATCACCAAGGGAAAGGCAGGCATGGATCTCTCCGGGATGTCTTAGGAGACTGAATCAGGATGTGAGGAGAAGGGGGAGACGATGCACCAGGGGCTTTTCTCTGAACCAAGCAAGCAAATGATTGCATGAAACCAGCAATCCCCCAGTGCCTCTTTGAGCAGCCCTATGCAGCCAGCGGAGGAAATTGGTGACTGTACCCAGCAAGGCTGGTTTTAATTAACAAATAAT